TACATCCAACAGGTTCAATGAACAAAATTTTGTATATTTATTTGAAATAGAATTAAAAATTCCAAGGAAGTAACGTTTGTAGTATCACATTTAAAATTTCTTCTTGTATTTAAGTCATTACTCTCTTCAAATGCACAGAGTATATTCTAACATGAAGCGAGAAAACAAGAAATTGCTTCATTCAAGTTTCCAAACAATTTAGAAATGGTTCTTAAACTACATTTTTGTATTAAAAATGCATTAGGTCATAAAATTTCCTTAACCTTGTTTAAACGTAAATTTCATGGGTTCAACGTGCTTCATCATATTAGTTTTGTGTTTGTACCATATTATAGGGACTTTCTTAAAATTACATGACATTTTTATAAGGTTATTACTAACTTTTCATGGGCAGAAAGGATATTAAAATTTATATGCTTTTGCATAAAGTATTCGAGCTATTTTCAATTCACCATTGAAATTAATTTTTAAAACACACTTAACAAACATGGCTTCACCAAGTTCAAGGTAAAGATCGTATTGTTAATGCAATAATTTGGAGTAACGCACATAAAATTGTGTAACGTACATCACCCTAACACAAATTTAGCGTGAAAATGTTTCCTATAGCCTATACATGAAGATTAAAAATAAATCTTTCGACCCGTTGATAATTATTAGAAAGATTAACTACAGATTAAGCACAGTCGTTGGCTTTATAGGTTACGTGGGGAACTAAATGACTTTTTTTATTCAGTTATCTCTCATTAAACGGGACATTTTCATGATAAATGAATTAATCAATAATGTTACTAAATCGTAGGAACATAAAAAGTCATGGCCACCTGGTAGTATTTTTTTCTCCTATAACATATTGTTGATTAGTGATTTTACAGAAAAGTGTAAATTGAAAGTTAATCTCGAAAACAATTTGCTCTTTTAAATTAAGAAGAAAAAATATGTTGTTACAAACTGGTAAACGAAATTTAGAATTCAAAATTTATTTAAAGAAAATACAATCATTGCATAACTTTTTCTATTTCAATCCTTTCACTGCATTTTGGTGGGAATACACATACATTTCCCTCTTTAACATTTGTTTAATGGGATACGTTTTATGATTCTCTTTTTAAGTATAAGTTTATTGTGAATATGAATTTAAAAACTTTATTATTTAATTACTCTAAAATAATTCTGTGGTATCCTTTTTAAATAAATTCAAATAGAGAGTAGAAAGTTTAACGGTCAAATATGCCCTCATTTAAAATCCCTTATAATTTAGTAGTGTTATAATACATATGTGTTTTTTAACATCTTGTAAAGTAATTAAATTATATTCGAATGGAGTGTATGCTTATATAGAACGTTAATAATACTTGTTTCTACAAGTAAATTGCAGAAAAATCTGAGAATAATTGCGAAACATTGAACTCATTGAACAAACTTAAATTTATTAGAACATACATTTTCTCAATTTTTATCAAAAATTCGAAATCAACAACGTTAATGAAAGAAAATGAACTATACAGGACTTGATATTAAATAATTAAACCGAATGAAAATTATATGCAACCGAAATAAATTTAAAACAGTTATCAAGAAAACTATTATTAAAGAAAGGACTTATTAAACAACTCGTAAATTTTGACCTTAACTTATAAATAAATACATGTATAAAATTTTTTAAAAATAAATTGAATGTATTTATGGTATAAAAAAGGTTATGTGAAACTCAGTGTGAAATATATGATTTCTAATCTAGTTTCATTTACTAAGTCGTTATATTGGCATAGGAGGCCTTTTTGATATCATTTGTAATAAATTACAAAATCAGATGATTAAATAAGACATATTTCCTTAGAAAACGTTAAATATACGGTTAGACCCCGATTTAACGAGCCCCTGTTTAGTGAATTTCGTGGTTTAACGAATTTTTCTCTTTCTCCCATTAAAACGAAGGCAAAAAACCAATATTTAGCGAATAATAAACCTCGAATTAACGAATAATTTCAGCAGCTGGAATTTTTTTTATTAGTTTATATGAGAAAAAATTATATATTTTTTTCAAAAGACATACAAAAAATTCATGTTTGCAGCAAATTTCAACGGAAATGGTGAAAACCATTATTAGACTTTACGGATGCAAATGAGTCATGAGTGTAACCCCTATTGCGTGAGAATTGAATAGGACAGGAAATTTCTTTCTTATCTCATCCCAATCCACAACGAAGGGGATAATTTAAGATTTTAAGGATTGTGAAACATTTGATGACTGACTGCCTATCGGTGCAACTGAAGTTGAGGAAATTGTTTATTTGCCGAAGCCAATGAATAACGATTCTGATGCAGAAAATAATAATGAAACTTCTATCAAAACTGTTATATTTTTCTAATGTCTTACATTGTTTAGAAACTGTGAAAACATCTCTCATGCAGCGGCATGTAAATGATGTAGTATTTTCTTCTCTGCATTAAGTAGTAAAATAACTGTCAAGAATAAAAAAAAAAAAAGATTTTCAAACCTCTATTAGTCAGTATTTTAAAGTTTGCAATTAACTAATGCGTAATAAATCATTAATAGTATTTTTAGCTGTTGAATTTATGACTATAATTTCTAATTATCATTTTTTGTGTAGTTGCTTACTAAATTTCCAAAAATTAAATGCAAAAAAAAATTTTTTTTGACGCCATTTTAACGAACAAAATGTTCGTTCCTGATAAATTCATTAAATCGAGGTCCTACTGTATTTCCTGGTTTGAATATTTTTTTAAAAAAAACTCTTGAATCCTTTCAGTGCAAGATCATCTTCAAAACTATTCGTAATTTTGGGACGCCCTCCCGTGAAGGATTCACGTTTACGAGCATCGTTTTGCTGCATACTGACTGAATACGCAATGAAAACCATTTTACAGAGTGAATAATGAAATCCATGAAAAGCCGGATGAAAATTGTCATCGGAGGATTTTATGGAATATAGTACTTCACAAAACGGCTCTTCAATAATTAATGAAAAACTGTTGACGAATTCTTTTATGAACTATACAAACTTTAATATCCTCGTAATGATACACGAAATAATGGAAATTTCATATATTCCAAAATCAAAAGTAAAGATGCGCTGTAACAAAGCCCTTACACACCGTATATATATAAACACATACACAAAATCCATAATAATATATTTAAATAGTTATAATTCTAAGTAGACAGAACAGTAAGAAGTATTATCCACAGTATATTATGATAGCAAACTCTGGACCCCCCCTCCCTAGAAACCTAGAATACCGGTTTAAACAAGGTTTTTTTGGCGACCAACCTTCACCTGTAGTTTGTCTATATTACTGAACAATAGGAAAAAGAAGAAGTATTATAAATATGTAATTATATGTTAGAAAATAAAATATACTAATGCTAAAATAATAAAATATAACCAGAAAAGTCAATAAACTACTCAGGTTTAAGCAATGTTTTTTAGTCGACCAACCTTCACCTGCAGTTTGCCTATACTACTGAACCATAGGGAAAGGAGGAAGCATTATAAATATGTAATAATATATTAGAAAATAAAATATTCTAATGATAAATAATAAAATATACCTACTTAGTAATATAGAATTCAAAATTTGTATGAAACACTGTAAATTTTCCACGTTAATACATCACCAATATTTCCCGCCAATACAAACTGAACTGAGAGTAGCAGGGTTTAAAAGTAAAAATTACTAAAAATAAGATAAATTATAAGTAAGCTTATGTATATCTGTGTATAAAACCTCAAGAAATATTATTCGGAAATTTTTTAGAATGAAGTGGACCCCAAAGATACATAGCAAATCTATGATAAAATAAAATGTATTTATATTTTATTAAACATGTAGCGCCTTTTTCTGACTATATGTAGATAATTGCGTAACTGTGTGTGTTTAGTTAAAATTGAGATAAATGAATAACATAAAAGATTAAAAATAGAAAACTAATGCACACACACATATTATTAAAATTAAAATTTGTCATTTAATTTAAATTTCAAAATAGTTAAAACAAAGTATATTGTAGCTCTCTCTATTTTGGTGGGCAAATAAGTGCTGATTAACAAAAAAGTAAGAGTTTCGTTTTTAGATTGTGTGCCTCTTGTTAAAATCTTTTATTCCGGAATAAAAACTGAAGAAATATAAGTTTAACACTAGACTTAAAAAAGCTTCTGATAAAAAATATAAATATTTTGTTAATAAATCATAAATAGTTTTTATAACACGAACATTCTCTTATTTTATACTATTTTCTGTACTCTAAATTAGAGGCTGGCAACCTATGGCACGCGTGCCACATGTGGCACGCAGTACGATTCTCACTGGCACTCTGCAGTTCTCAACAAATTTGTCAATTTTTGAGTGGATTAAAATTGATAAATTTGTAATGGACCTTCTTAACAAACATCTTCATAATTATGGAAATTTATTTAATTATGAAAAAAATCTCAGATAGCTCTAAAGATAAATTTACAGCTATTTTTTACATTGTTGAATGTCATTATTGGAGAGATTTAATTGTTTGAAGAGTGAAAAATGCATGATTCTGCTTTTCGCTTTTGGTTTTACTTATTTATGTAAAAAAAAAAATATTTTTTTCACATGAAAAATATTTTGAATCTTCAAAGAAATTGTTTAACAACTGAATTCTCAGAATCGTGTCTAATTGAAAGTCACAAATTAGACCCTTGATTTTGTAATATGAACGTATAGTGGTATAAGCACTAGGTTAGCATTAAAATTTTTATTTAACTATAATGAAGGCAAATACTTGTATTTTATTCTGTCAATTTCTTATTCAATTCCTACTCTGTTAGTTTACTCTCTCCCCATATATATATATACATTTTTTAAAACTTGTAGGGATGCACTTGATCTTAATACAGTTTTTTTCAAATATTAATTCATTAATTAAATTAAATAATGAATAAATAGTAACAAACAAAAGTAATAATCCTTAAGCATATATAGAAAGAAAAATCGTTTGTTGTGTCCCTGTACCGCAATACGCGCGTTGGACTTCTAATTCAAAGGTCATGAGTTCGAATCCCATCTGGGATGGCCTAATTTCTGAGAATGTGATTTATTTTTTACTATAGTATTTTATTAGAATAATTAAATTTATTTAATGAATAAAAGTATAACAAACAAAAGATAGTCCAACATCAAATACAAAGAAAGGAAAATGAAAAATTATAAAGAGAATAGCTTTCTATTTTGTCACTTAATATTGTGATTATGTCATATATATATATATTTTTACATTAATTGCAAATATTTACTAAAAAGTAATTAAAATGAAATTTTTCTTTGTTGACCAAGTAGAAGCTGACTTAATTTTTTAAAAATATTGTTTGTTTTAATAAACATGTTCTAAATATATAATATATTAGAATATATATAAATTTTTTTTAAAATTTTTGTTTAAGAAATCGTTATATTTTATGTTGTTTATTTTTATGTTAAGAAATATCCTTAAATAATGCAAAATTAATATATAATAAAATTGTGAACCTCTATTTATTGACCTCTGTTCTTTTACACCGCATGCCTTATCGAGGGAAAAGAATTGTTCTAAAAATGCCCTGAATCATATTGGTAGATTGGTTTGACGCCTCACAGCTAAGAGGTTGCCGACCTCTGCTCTAAATGATGATATTTATTAGCTAATTATTAACAGAAATAATAAAGGACAAAAGAGTAACAGAGCCTTTTTATTTCAAGCCACAGGAATCTATAGCTTCGATAATATAGCAAAAACAAATAAATTTGAAGTATAATTTGATTTTTTAGAATAAGTCCCAATAAGAGTTTAACAACGTTAAGGTTCCTCTTATAACTAAATACAGAATTCCGATGCACAAAGGGGAATTAAAATAAATCTTGCAGCTCGAGATCAAAGTGAAAAATTCGAATCCATCAAATAGGAAACGACCCTATTTAATTTCCTGAATCAATTATCTAGAGTTGGAAATCTGTTCTTTGTACAAAAGCAAAAGAAAAACTGCGTTTAATTTAAAGTCGTGATCAGGAATTAGTCTTTCTCGCCTAAAGGAAGTATTAAACAATAATTACGAAATCTAAAGCTCCTAAAACGTATCTTGGAAACATCTGCATTCAACGGAATTTTTAGACAGTAGGGAATTTAAAGTCACACACACATTAGATTTTTTTTGTTCGCTTCACAATATTTAATGAAATCTTGGCTAGACTCAGTGATTTATTAAATACAACGACGGAATAAATTTCCCGAAAACAGTCAATTAAAAATCTACTACATAATAGAAAATCTTTTCTTAAGACAAAGAAAAGGAGTATTATTTGTTTCAATAGAAATTGAAATTAAGAATGAACAATAACATTAATGGGAAAAATTATTATCTTGTGTATTCAAAGTTTATACAGTTGATTGACTATAAAATTTAAACAGGTCATCGAACAAAAATCAAACAGGGTTGTGACGGTCTATTTGCGTTCTCTCAAATACTAATCCTCTTGGGAAATATTGGGTCTTTAAAAATTATTATATTATAAATCTTCACCCCGAAGAAGAAAATATGCGTATACAAATAAAGACTTGTATATAAAGATTAAACTTTCAGGTTAGAAGGAGAGAGAGGTTTGACTGCTAACGGTAGCGGGGTGATTGATTAAACGTGAAGTGAGGCGTGGATACTTCGTACCTGATTATTGTAATGCTAAAATTGACGATTTGTCAATTAGGAATCAAATTAGATTAGGATGCTAAGAATTAGAAGATATTGCCTATAGACGTAAGTGATGTGATTATTTAAAGTCTTCTCGTATCTCGCCTACCTCGCTATTGCTTTCCATGTTTGGTATTTGGGGGCATCTCTTAACTTTGGTTAATAGAATTTGTATTGTTGTTCTTAACTGAGAATAAATTGAAGTTATTTTGGAATAGGGCTAATCTTCCTTCCGACCCTCTCTCACTAAGGGATAATTTAGCTCATCTCATACAGGTGTTAGAATATTCTATTCAGGTTACTGAAAGATTCTCTGATTGGCTTTTTTAATGAACTGCCCCCAAAAGGCTTCATATTGTTTTCGTTTAAAAAATGTAATTGAGATGAATTCTGTGTGAAGTAACTTTAATTAGAAGGAAACAAGAGGTCATTGACCGAAAATATTTAACGAATGGTATTAAAACAGTTATCAACTTACGGCTTATAGAACTTACGATCTCATTAACTTTTCTTTTTCTAAATTGTAAGAAAAAAATCTGTTGAAGAAATGGTGTGTATATAATTATATGACAATATTAAATAAATGAACTCAATATAGGAAACAAAAGGTACAAATTTAGTTATAATACAATAGAAGCTCTAATCTACTCCCAACTGAATTAATTAAATTAATATGTCAACAAATTCTAATAAGCCAGCATGTTAATAATAATGACAATAATAATAATGCATTTTTACATGGTTTTTTTTTTTGCTTTATAATTTGCAATCTGAAAAGCACCATTTGTGAATGATGATTGTTTGGTTTTGAATTAAAGTCATACATATGTGATGGCTTTTGGCAAACCATACGATTTTATTTTATTTTAATTTACGTTGCAATCTCAAGCAACGTGAGAGTTATTGGAGGAATGTCCAGTGGAACCAAGCTCACCTGAAGAGGGTTTAGAGCTACAAGCCGATCCCTTGGGAAACAACCAGGCTTTTTTAGGAAAAAAGTCAAAGTTTACATTTTAAACAGCAGAAGACAGTAAAATAGCAAAATACAAATTTAAAGGTAACTGCATGACATACATACGTCTACATGAACATAATACAAATATACAAAGCAAATATAATAATAATAAAAGAAAAAAAGGGGCAAGAGATGGAAGAAAGAATATATATATATATATATTCCAGCTTTCTTACAAATACATAAACAATAATAAAATTAAACAACACAACTGCACCATGCAGACTAAAAGGAAAATAAAAGACAGGAAACATAATAATAATAATAATAATAATAATAATAAAATGTTTCTTTCGAATTATATTTTCAGTTGACGCCACCACTTCCTGTTGATATTTCCCCCCTCTTAATTGGTTCTTCAGTTTAAAGAAAAAGAAATGACCGGAAGAACAATCCTCCTTCAGCACAGGAAGGAGGATTATTTTTTCGAGATCTTCTGCCTCATTTCTTAAAGAAACATAAAGGAAGAAAGCAGCAGTGTAAAGTAAATAAATAAATAAAGAGAGAGAAAGGGGAGGGGGGGAAGAGGAAGCGACGGACTTCTTAATTTTGAGCCCTGGTGAAGTGACAAGGACATCTGTGCTTTCACTCTCTTTTCTAACTTCCATGCCACACCAATGTGAGGATCTTGAGCCATGGCTGATTTATCACGCATCAGCCCGGTGGTCAGTACACGGTGGGTCTTCAGTAGCACTAAATTTTGAACACATGACTCGACAACGTCGGCCTTGAGTTCGTTACTATGAACACTTGGCTTCTGTGACCAAGATCTCATGAATTTGGATACGAGGACACACCCAAACTGATAACTTACTCTTCTAATTTATACCACAACAAGAAAGAATTTTTGAGGTTCAATTTCGCTTAATAAATTGTAGGTTCACATTATTTTCTGAGATGGGATTCGAATCCGCAAAAAATAAATATCAACTGGTCGATGAATTTGGAGGTAATTATTGGGTTATGAATTATATTTTGCGATGTTATTTTTTAAAAAGAAGTTTTTTTTTTATGTAAGACATCTTTTGTTAGCATTGTTATATTTTATATCTTCCACTCCATACAATAAATCATTTGTTATGGAATGGGTTAGAATTATGACACAACTTTGTATGCATGTTTATGGAGCTTGGGGTATTTATCTATAAGTACGAGCTCCATTATGGTGTGATTTATGTTCTTTTATTCAAGGCATAGCTTTGAATCTTGAATAGTAAATATTGAATAAAGCTGAACTTATGGCAGACTACAACAAAAATAACTATAGCAAAAATATTATTATGAATTTTGTGTAAAGAATACTTAAAATAGAGTAAATAATTTCTGGATATGTAATACGTTTACGTTGTATTATTTTATGTTATATTGTCATATTTACCACCAGTACCATTCCTTACATTATAATGGTGATGCAATGGAAACTTGGCAAAATCTTGGCGATAAAACCAAGTTGGCATCATTTTTGACAACCATTTTTGGCGAGTTCGTGACCATTTGGATTCTGGATATTACGGGAGAAATCTTCTAATATCACGATCTTTGATGGAAGCAGAATTTTTGAGAAAAATCCACTAGGCCTATAAATAGGGAGTCGCTCACCGAAACTGAGTTAGTTTTGTTTTGACCATTGGAGAGTAGAGTATTGATCTGACAGTGAAGAGTCGACCAGCAATTAGTTATTACCTTGGCTGTTGAGTAGGAAAAGCCGGTGCTTGTGAATAGTCTAACATACTTGTATTTTAGACACTGATATTTGTGTATGAGCGCCGTAGAAGGTGTAAATGTCTTCTGAGATTTACTAAGCGATTTTAAGTACTGTATCCTGTATTTCAAGGATTGTTTTTCGACAATAAATTTCCGTCGCTCAAGAAGAACTTTCTTGCTCTTTGTGACTAATTGCATAAAATCCTCGGACCCCGATCTACGTAACAATATTAACAAGTCCAATTTGGAATATAAGGACAGTAAAAAAGTTTTGCTTTACACAGTTGGCATATATGTATTTATTTAAAGGAACAGAAACTTTTTAGAAATGTGGATTTTTAAAGTTAGCATTCTAATTAATGCTTGATTATTTTCTTAAAAAATATTTATATTATAACACGTCAACTTTTAGAAATGGCATTTTTCCTTATTAAGTTTGCATGCATATTGTGATATTTAAGCCTATAGTCAATCATTATGCAAATATTAAAATAAGTGATATATTTGGTCGGGTTTTCAGCTCTAATACAATTATAAAGGAGTTAAGATAAAAAGCTTTGGGATTGAATTTACTTTTAAAGTTAACACATTGCACCTTGAATTGATTACCTTTTAGCTTCACACGGTCTGTTCGA